ACAAACAGACAAAAAAAAAGTTAGTTACATTTTTGGGTTTAACATCGACATAATAATAGCCCCTGCTATTTTTTTTATTTTATTTTCAATGTACAGACAGCACTTTTCTACAATTTTATTATATGTATAGATTATATAAGTAGTACTAGTAGTATTCATGTCCCTGGGACGCGCCGGACTTCAGTGTTCCGGTGTTTTTACGGTTGTATTTACTGTAGATCCTGACTTACAGGAGTTGCAGCGGTTTTTGGAGATTGTGGCAGGCTTGTCCCATAAAAAAGTCGTACTATTTTATCTTGAGGTGATCAAATAACATGAGAATTACTAAAACACATTTAGAGAATAGGGGGTAAAGTTCCCTAAGATCGGAAAAGGAGGATCCTCCGACCAGACGAGGCCATCGTGTCTGGTGGGCTCTCTGCCCAACATTTGTACGTTGGGATTTTCTATCCGTATTATTTCGCAAGTAAACTTGATGTAGGATTTTTGTGACTTCATCCGTTGATTTGTGATGTGTCGCCATACACATATCCAATACCATTATCAGGTTTGGCCTTATATTACACAAATCTACCATACTTTGGTTATTGGTACAGGTAAATAACATCAAACTGAAACCCTATGATGAGCAACCATACTTCACAAATAATAAAAGAAATTGAGAATAAAACTTGTCAGCAATTAAAAAAAGTAATCTTTATTATGTACAGTAGTCTTTAGCTGGTAACAGCCACTTCTCATTAAGTGTCGGTGCATGCGTCACATAAAACCGGGGTGTACTTGAATTATTATGACGTCATAAAGCGCACACAGCCAGGGTGATGGCTCCGTTAAATATTATGTATTAATCGTGACGTTTCTATCTTTTTGGGAAACTGATGAGTAAGCTGCTATGAAGTTTTTAATCATGAACGGCTTTGTAACGTAATAGTATGCATTTTTCGATTGTGAATGATATAGAGTCCCGTCTTTATGTCCTAAAGATTACGAATTACGTTATGAAGCTTAAGAGGAATAAAGTTGTGTATTGAGGCTTAATTTAAATAATAATTATTTTCATAAAAAAATATTATTAACAACATTTAAGTAGTTTTTTCCTCAATAATGAAATCTGAGAAGCAACCTCATTTTCTATATAAAATTAACATTCATATAAATAGTTTCATAATAGTAAATGTAAATTGTATTATTGATAGCAATAATACAATTTACAAATCAAGTACACAGACAATCGGTACACAATGCCAGGTCTAAAGTTATTGTTATTGAATACCAGTAACTGTATTACTGTTATACCTGAATTCAAATTCATATTCTAAGGCAATAAATATATAATCCAGGAACAAAAACAGGTGGGTTTCGACAGATATATAACTGTGTATAAATGATTTTATTCGCTTTGATTGTAAAATATGGCGCCTTGTTCGACTAGTAATCATGCTACTGTTTGAGGTCTTGAGTTTATAGAAACTTGTATTGTAGGGTCCAAAACTGGTTTCTAGGGCTTCTATTTGGTGCTACGGAAAATGATTTTATTAAGGTTTTCCATCGTGTTGATACATAGATACTTATGGTTGGGATGTTGCAATAAATCGATAGATTTAATTTAGAGGTACTAATTAAACATTAAATTGTGGACGCCAAGAGGCTTCATTTAGACAATTTTTACTCATGATTCTGCATTTTCCTTGAGAAGTTTTGAATCTAATGCATTAAAGTACAATATTTATTTAATATTTTCGTCACCATAGTCATCATCAAAAGGGGTATACAACTAGATGAAATTAGGAAACTATCTTATTTTATTCCATTATTTTACAAAATCCCAATCTTTTGCGCATCTCTCTACATCTATATAATAATTTGCATCCGTCTGTCTGTGTCGTTCCTTCGTCACGGATCCATTTTCAGGTACATTTCTCAAAGCAGTGACGCGTTTCACTGAATAAAGGGGTGGGAGAGAATTTTAAAGTTTTCTAAAAGCCTTCATTATCATAATTCAACAATTTTGAAAATGCAACTCTGTGGAGGGTCTTTCTATTTCAGAAGGGAGACTAAAACTGTTCATTTGAAAAGGTACTTTTGTTATTTCTTATTTATTGCAATCTATTTCACGTCTGTTGATGTACTTTTGTTGGTATAGTTTTGTAGGTATTTACGAATCTAATATCTTGCCAATAGGAAATATTGTGCTACAAAAAATAATGTTAAAATGTATTCCATAAGTTAAGTCAGTGGCATTTCACTGCTTTTTTTTGAGGGGGAAAATTATCTAATGTCTTCTCCCGCCTTGGGTTAGGCTAGGAGTGTTAGACTCTTACTGACTAAAAACCACCCCGTTCCTAGTACTGCTCTTTGAGCCGGAGCCTCGGCATCCCGTTAGGCCTTCCGTGGCTCCGTGTCGGGCATCAGTCCTACTGGGATCTGTGGTGGGATCTGTGGCTGATGGCTGACATTTTACTGCTGGACTATTAAATGAAAATCGTTAAAATTCATCATGGATAACACAATAAATAGTGCTTGAATTTAATATAATACCACATTTACAGTGCCTAACAAAAACATCAATAAAGCACATATAGTATACACTCTATACACGTAGCATACAAAGGAGCAGCCACATAGCTACAGCCACTAAAAATCATCGAACTTCAATGCGATTGGAGAGAACTTTCCCAACGAACAATTTTAAACTAGAAATCGAAGCATTGAACGTCTTAACTTGTTTCGACTTGAACAAAGAACTCTTAGAAAATGTTGGTTCTTAAGTCACTTCGTACATCTACAGGTACTTACTAAGATTAGGTCTTGGTATTTCGTTTGTTCGTCTTTTTCCAACATCTGGTTTTTCAATGTTCGCTGCGGTTCTCTCTACGTTTTTCTTATTAGTTTTGTCTATTTTGTATTTCTTTTGTCCGTTGCTAGTGCTACTGTTCTGTCGTTGGTTTTGTGTATTCTTTTGTTTGTGACTGGCTTTTTGGTTGATAAGTGTGATCGTCGAGTTCGGATAAATTATTATCAATTCAGTTTTCAATGAGTTTTTTTGTATTTTAAATCAATGTTTGTAAAAAAAAACCAGTGGAGGTAGTTACTTCTAGCATATCACTATATTAACATGATTCCGTACTTAACAGATGTATATTTTATAAAAAACTATAACCATTAAAAATTTTCTCGACCCACTTTAAAACACCTACTTCCCTACATCCTAATTTGACATTAAATCCTTCATCATGTACACACGAGTAATTAGAATCAAAGGTGCCTTAATTAATGTTAACGAACTCATTACCGAAGTTCGTTCATTGTTTGTTTCTAACTCACACGTTGGGTGTAATTGGTGCGAATAAATATTGATGTTTAATTAATGTTTCTACGGAGAACTGATGCTCGGTTCGTGTTTTGATAGTTGAGAACTCCTGCGAGGATATGTTTGCCTGGTAGATTGATATTGAAAGTGGAGATGGTTTACTGTTTATTTTGTTAGCGACTTTGGATCGGTATATATTGGAACTTAGTTATTGTTATCGACACTTCTCGATATTGTGT